AAATCATTATTTCTAAAAAATTAAGGAATATTTGTACCAATATTTAAAGGAAACGTCCAGCAAGAATATGACATTTAAAGTCAGCATAGTTGCTCAAAAGGTATGACATGAAACAGAATCAGAAACTCAAGCGTATTTCTTTTGAACCATCACTCCATTAACTTAGTTATAGAGAGTTTACATTATTTTTATTTTCCTCAGATTTCTACTTAATGTAATACTCCATATTCATATCTTTTCTGGTCTCTTGCTTCCTGGGCCTACTTTATTTTTGTGTAACTATTCTGGCTTTGATCTCTGTGTTCACTAAAGTCTATGAGGTTTTGTGACGAAGGAGATTGGCCTCAGGAATAACTGAACTTAAAAAAAAAGAAGATTGAAGAGGAGGTGGAAGTGACAGGAGGCTGACCTTTTCCTGATGCAGACAGATTTCTGGGGTATTGAGAGAGATCCAATGAGAGATTATTATACACTATAATCTTCTAATGTGTATCTGTATGCCTAATAACTCATTTCAATATCACCAAAATCACAATAAAATAATCAGAAAATTTGAAATAATGAACAAGGTAAAAGATAAAAAAATCTTATCCTTTCATATAAAAGAACACACACATTTAAAAGAATGACTTAGGATGAATGAAAGTGAGGGAGACAGTGAAAATAAGAGCATAGATTTTAATCAAGCTTTTCGTTCAGAAATAATTGCAGGATCTCATCAGCCTTTTCTTGGTTTCCCTTAGTGGCAATGCTTAGCAAAACTACAGTTCTAGAGCACTGGATTTTTCTGAGATGGGATAGGATATGTTCTGAGCGAAATGTAATGACTGAACAATTTAGACACGTCTGAAATACTCAACCAAATCATTCCACTTAGTTCAGAGTGATGTCACGGAAGAAATGGGATGTTAGAAAAAAAAAACTTGCTGTAAGATTGAAGTTCTAATCATTCGGCCAAAACGGACTGTTTAAGATCTAGAATACAACTTGAAAGTTTTGGAACAGTGATGTATATTGTAGTTGGGCATCAGAAAAAAGAAAAATCTCATCGATGCCTTTTAAAACAAAATAAGTAGAGTCTTTTGACAGACAACAACTAAAAAAGACAATTTGGACAAGGATTTTTTTTCCAAACATTGGCTCACATATAGTATCTCTTTTGATTAAAGAGATTGAATTTTAGCCAACAGCTTTGTGAAGCCTAACTACCTGTCTTCCTTCTGTGTCACCCAGCTAACTGGGAAAGAGGAATAGGTTTGATCACTACTAGATAAAATATTTCCGCTTGTTCTTTAATCCTATGTTTTAGCAAGCTGTCATAATAGTAATTTTGTCTTTGGTTCCACAACAACAGCGAGACTGCGTTCTGTTCCAAACTCTGAATTTTTGTTATGAGTAGTGAGCTGAGCAGCTGGGCTAGGGAGAGAGGTAGGGGAGGGACCAGGAAGAACTAAGGGTGATTTAGATAGGCATCTAAGCAGGCACTCTGAAACCACACACCAAGCAAACAGTTCACCAGCTCGGCCATGTGACTGCAGTGCATGGTAGCACTTCGGCCACTCATGTGGAAAGAGCCAGGAGCCAAGCACATAGTTACAACCGGGCATTGAGGGGTTATGACAGGCATCAGAGATGCCTGGGCCAGTGGCAAGGCTTGGAAGAGGCAGCAAGAGTGGAATGCTTAGAGATTTTCTGTATTGAAGCTCTTAGTATCCTTCATAGGGGCCACAACTGTTTACTGTGGTAAGGACAAATCCATTAAAAGTCACAGCCATCTCAAAGGGCTATAAAAGCCTTCACTGAGCTAAAACATAACAAGTGTAGGTTAGAATTCACAGGAAATCAACTGGACCGTGTCCATCCTTTTAATATGCAAACTTCCATGGTCCTGTATTTAGATGCGTTTTCATTACTACATGCATTTGTATTTCCCTCCTGCTTTTCTCCTTTTAGAGATAACTTGATCTACACCTGGCTTTCACAGAGTTGATGAGTTCTTCTCATACGTAATCATCCCTGTCAGGGAACAACAACTTCACTCGGCAGAGGCAGGAAGCCGAGTTTTCTGGGTCCTATAGGTCTTTTCCTCCATTGCCCTTAGCGAGAGGACCAAGTAGAGCTGCCCATCTTACTTCCTCTTCCATGTTCCCCTGTCACAGGCTGCTGCTGTTCAGTTTGGACCTTGGGGGACACGCAGGGTAGGACATTGATATATTGTGTAACATGTCACATAGAATAACTACCCCACCTAGACTCTGCCATTGGGACCATTTGAAACGACTGCCAACCTAAGTATTTCAACACCATCCTAAATTGGGATCTGAGTTTAAAAAACATGAACATGATTTCTTCAAAATTAAAATTGCTTGCTAATTATGAAGAATCATTTTCCCCATTCAATATTTGTTGTTTAAGATAGGGCTAATATGAATATATTCTGCACAGGGAAAAGGTTCCAACTGGTATCCACACTACAAATTCAAACTTCAAAAATCATTTGAAAATGTTTGTGCTTAGATAATAAATTAAAATATATACCATATTTCTCTCTGAGCAACAAAAATATGAATGAGTTATTGTAAACTCATTTTCTTTTCTTTTATACTTTGTGTGTGTGTATGCATGTGTATGTGTTCATGTGGGCACGTGCATGAGTATGTACACATGTAGTCACCTGGGTGAGCAGGTGTGGAGGTCAGAGGTTGATGTTGGGTATCTTTATTGATTTTTGAAATGGGTTTTCCCACTGTGTCTGGAACCCACAGAGTGGCTACAATGCCTGGCCACTTACTTCTCCAAGTACCTTCCTTGCCGCTTGCGCCACAGCTGGGGTGAGAGGTGAGGTCTGTTTGACTACCGTCTTCATGGTTGCATGCCAAGCGCTTTACCAACTGAGTCATCTCCTCAGCCCCCTCTCCTAATATTTTTCAAATGAATTTTATTGACCAACTTGTTGCCACATAGTATGCAGAACTGAACAAAAGACTCTGAAGAGCGTGGGCCAACATGAAATTACAGATTATTTCTCTTGTCACTTTCCAGGAAAGATACTATTTCAAGCATAAGACACATAATTAGACCACCTGTCAGCAAAGGCAAGGGGAATACATATAGCCTTGGGAGGGTAGAAATAAACTGGACCTGGCGTTCCTCTAGAGCAGTGGTTCTCAACCCTTCCGATGCTGCAACCCTTTAATACAGTTTCTTATGTCATGGTGACCCTAACCATGAAGTTATTTTTATTGCTGCCGCATAACTGTAATTTTGATAGTTATGAATCATAATGTAAACATCTGTGTTTTTAGATGGTCTTATGCAAGTCCTGTGAATGGGTCATTTGACCCCAAAGGGGTTGTGACCCACAGGTGGAGAACTGCCATTCTAGGAAAGGACGTTGAATAGCTGAAGGATGGCATTAGGCCCCGTGAAGTCTATGATATTTTTGTAATATGTGAGTATTAGAAATTGAAGACTAAATAGAAATGAAAATAAAGATGTGCACTCAAATTCCCCAATTTTTTGCCCAGCTTTTGTCCTTTCCTTATACACAGACCACGAGCCCATTGTTAGCTTGGCTTGCTCTGGTTTGATTTAGTTTGATTTGCTGCCAAGAACCATAGAGGCTCTTCTCTTGTTGAGATAATAAACAGGCCTGTTTTCCCATTTCTACAGCGAATGTTGTGGGTACTTTTCCTTCTTGACAACCTATGCCAATGCTGCTTAGGGAGATGTTGCCTGGTCTCAGGTCGGTGAAGACCTGTCAATCAAGAGGTAGATCTCCTCACTCATTGTGCACTACTCATGGAGTTAAACTTGATAATGCTAACCTTGGGTGGGCAGAGATAGGAAATCCCCTGAGCACACTAAGACTCACCTAAGGGTAAGACCATCTCAATAAATGAATGGGAAGCAACTGAGGGAGACTCTGGGCTTCCACACACGCTAGTACTACTCACAAACATGTGTCCTCAATGCACGTGAACACGAACACACACACACACAGACGTGCGCGCGCGATAGAAGGGCAACACCTATTGTGATTCTGAGGGTATATATATTAGTGGAGGTGGGAAAATAACAATTGTTATTAGTACAAGTGACCAGTAATAGTTTTATAATTGTGAGTACATACCAGGAAACTAAATCCTGAACCAAATGCACAAACATGGTAAAAAAAAAAAACAACAAAGCAAAACAACAACAACAACAACAAAACTCTAATTCTTAAACAAAGCTATACGGCAAAAGACAAACTAAGAAAGTTATTCACAATGTGTAGGAAGGAAAAAGAATATTCAGAAAGGTGTTATAAAATACTGAGGAAATATATAAATAATAATTTTAAAAAGCTAAGAATGTAAGAATGTGAAAGGGGACTAAATTATAAAGACTAGGAAATATATAAGAAGATGTTTTCTCAGGAGAAATGATACAGAGGAAAGACCGCCCAACCAGTAGGAATGAAAATCAGGACTATTGTACATTTGTGTAGGTCCACCCCTACCAAAGAGAAAAAGTTTGCTAACATTCAGGATAATTTTTATGCTGAATTTTACTTAGCCATGTAGTTGTAAGTTCAATTGAGCTTTGGAGTGGCAGAGGTGGGGCTTACATCCACTTTCTCTTTTGAATCTATGATAATCAGTGAATTAGATGACTTGTACTCAAGACTGCTGAAGGCCTATTTCCCAAATTTGTTACCCATTTCAGAGAAATCCCAAGGAAGAACACAGAAAATTCATGGTGGAAAAAAAATAACTGAATTACTTTCTCATCGAGCTTGTGACTACCGTTCCCTCTGGTAAACAGGGAGGCAGCACTCCTCCTCTCGATATCAGAATTAGGACTTCTTCTCTGAATTTAGGACTAGAAACCCCTGAGAAAGATATATCTGCCACCCCACTGACACTGGGTCCTTGGACTTCATAGTGCTGCTGTACCTGTTTAGAATCTGAGAGGAAATGCTAGGGAAAGAAGAGCAATCTCAATCTTGTGTTCACCTGTTTGTTTCTCAGCGGCTGGACCACTTCTCTGACACACAGCTCCAGATCCGTGACGTAATCCCTCTCAGTCTGTATCAGCTCCCTGATGATTTTGGCCCGCTTTGCCATCATCTTTCTCAGCTGTTGCTCTTCCTCAGGGGTGGGGGTCTCAGTGGAGGAGCGCTCAGTCTGTGGAGTCATCTTTTCTGTGAAACAATAACACGTTCAGGTGAGATGCTCTGCCGTGGTCTGTTTTCCTCCAAAACATACAATGCAGGGTTGTTGTTAGCCAGGCAAAAGGCGTAGGGATCTTCACAGTGGGTCCTGGGAAGTCCTATGTTAGTTCCTCACTAGATAAGGATTCTATAAGCAAGGCGAAGCCGAGTGAGAACTACTACTACAATATGTCATGAAATGGAATTCAAAAGCCATGGCTTCTGACACGTCCTGTTGATGGAATCTCAGTCTACAAAGTTGACCCTCCGTTAACTTTGGATGTATAAAAACTCAATTCGGAACTTCCGAACATGCCTGCTTTTGAAAACAAGGAACATTTTAATTAGGAAGCAAACTGCCTCCCAGTTCTGTTTGTCCCTATTACTAAAAAACAATCACCTAGCAGGTAATAATCAGTGGAATGAAAACCAACCAAATGTGATTGGGTTTTTCCTTTTCATTCATCATCAGAACGCATGAACAGTGAGACAGCGGGGGATTAAAAAAAATTTCAACTAAGTATTCTAAAGAATTATTTTTGCTATTGTGTAAATGTTGTTACTTCTTAATTACTGAACCATCCTTACTGTCTTTTCTTTGTTGACTTTGCTTTGTTTTTAAGTTACAGAATCGAGAGGTTGAAATAAATTGTAGGTCACATATGCAGCCAAGCATCTGCTTGGGATATTAAGGTTAGAAAGTAAAGATCATTAGGAAAACCTCATAGCAATGCAAAACCCTGGAAGCTACGAACTCACTGTTCACCATAAGTTCAGACCGGGGACCTAAAACAAGGGAAGTCATAGACATCAGGGCTCACTCTCCCTGCCGTGTGTGTGTGTGTGTGTGTGTGTGTGTGTGTGAGAGAGAGAGAGAGAGAGAGAGAGAGAGAGAGAGAGAGAGATTAAAGCTTAACTTTCATGCTAGTCTCTGCAGTTGTAGACATAATTTTATTTCATTTAAGGTTAATATTCTTGTAATTGACATGTTAGAAATCTTCAGTGTTGATTCAAACAAGCTTTGCAAAAAGATCTTGAATCCTCTGTATGGAAAATAAAAGGTACGAGCCACAATATATGCAAGAGGTAAAGAGAATTCTTCACCTGGCTGCTCGAAGGTAATGGACTCGGAGGAGGGCTCAGGGGAGGAACCAATGGTTTGTTCTGAAGAGGCTTGCCCGAGAAGGTGAGTGGACACTTTAAAAAGCAAAGAGCCTTCTCTTCCTGCTGGACTAACTCCAGCAATTTAGAAAAGCACATAACCAAACATTTGTGGAGAACGCTGAAAAGGAAACTCCAACATCAGATCGTACTAGAGCAGGCATCAATTTTTCTGTCATTAGGGAAGACCACGGCTAGGAAAAGTGACATAAAACCATGCGGTTTTTACAGGCTTAGGCCATTCCATGCTAAATATAAAATAAAATCTTCCGGAGTTGTATCAGAAGATAGAATCTATATAATGAGAATGAATGTTGGATGTGAGAGTTCTGCAGGCTTCATATTTTATCTGTTTTGGGAATTTGGGGTATACTGTTTGTCAGTACTGTTCTTAGTAGACAGTGGCATAATCCTGTATTTCAGAGCCCCCAAATAAAAGTAAAAGTGATATCCCATGCCATTACTGTTATTTCTGTGTGAAATAAAGGATGAAGGTCCTTTTGTGAGGGGAGACACAACAGTGAGTAGCCATGCACCCAGATATGGAGAACCTTCAAGGGTTTTTATTGCTTTGAGGTTAGGTTGGCCTTGAATTCTCTAGGCAGCTGAGAACAACTTTAGATTTTTGGTCCTCTGGCTTCTGTCTCCCATGTACTGGGATTATAATTATATGCCCAATTTTGAAATTTGTGCAGCACTAGGGATCAAACCCAGGGGTTGTACATGATAAACAAGCATTCTAATGACAGTTGGAGTAGCAATGGCAACAAAGATAGGGAAAGAGATTTTAAGGTTTTTTAAAAATATTGTATATACATTTAAAGTATACAACATGAATCACATATATAGGGAAATGACTTGGTGGGGGCTGTGAGATAGCACATAGAGACACTGACAACATGTAAGGAGCCTCTACTTTAGGGATATATGAAGTTGAGCACAGAAATTCATGCCTAAACCAGAGAGCTCACAACCAACTCTAACCCTAACCCTGAGTCCAATTACTTAATATTGTCTTGAAAACTAAACAAACATACTTTACAAAATTAATCGAAGAATGTAACAAGGACCTTTATCTATCTTTGTCAAGGAAATGCCCCTACCACATGTCCCTAGATTCCTTCCAGTTGTAAATTCCAGTCCTCAATTCCACGTCAACTTCTTCCCCACGTGTTCCAGTTGCTGTTCTTCAAAACATACGACAACCTTTTTTTTTTTAAAAAAAATTAAAAATGACATAGTTTTTTTCTAGTTCTATTAGCATCTTGGCCACAACTGTGGACCCTGGGTGCCAATTAGGTTGCTATAAGATGTTGGTCAAGATATTCAATTTCAAAGGTGTTTTTCAGGAGCAAAAACTTCTCATAGAACTTGGAGTTGAGCAACCTTCTAGATGTCTTTGTTTGTTCTTCTGACTCAAGTTTATTACAGGAACAAAGACTCAACTCGCATCCTTTTATGGTCAGACCTCCAAACATTTTGACGTTTGCTTGCATTCTTAAACTAACAACCTCTCCACGATGCGTTGGGGATACCAAGTTTTGTTTTAACAAGCCCCTTCACGCCTTTGAAAACGTTTTGTATACTTGATTTACAGCGAGTTTTACATAGAAATGTATTTGTAGCACAGCATCACCAGCAGCTACCATCACAGTCAGCAGGCAGTTATAAAATCAACATGCAGCCGAGACCAAAAGAACATTTAAATTCTTATAACCAAAAAATACATATCCCTGACTGTTAAAGGGGTGATTGCCACGACTCTCTCTGCCTTCCTTCACCTCTGTTACCTGCAGACATTCTTCTTGCAACTCTTGTGATGGATTTGAACTATTTTATTAATCAGATTTAATTGTTAAACTTTTGTGAGCGTTCCCAGTCAGAAATGAATGACAGCTGCCAGAGAGCTATACAGAAGAGGGAAATCAGTGAGCGGCTTATGTAGAAGTTCCTTGGGATCCTCAAAACAACACAAATGTTAAACTTCCTTGTAGGCAGGGCAGCCACAGAGATCCGAGATCTTAAAGAAATAGAGGTGACGAACATCCCCTAGGCAAGGAAGCCATGAGATTCTTTATTCTATAGTGTTCAGACTGCTTCTGGTTCTCGTTTAAATCACTGGTGTTGGAACACGTGAAAACATAAACATGGTCTGTCCTGTGTTTCATTTCCTGTGTAGTACTCAGCACCTGGCATGAAATAGCCACATGTTAGTTTTGGCTAGTGGGGTTTTTCCCCCAAATAGAAGATAACACAAGCGTTTTGTATGCCTAATAAATAGTCTAGGTTAAGCTACAACATTCTTCTTGTTATTTGACTTCTCCTTTTACAGATCATCAATTTGTGATAGGTTTTATTGGGACATCATCCATCCTATATCCCGACACACATGGTTCAGCTTTTCACCACCCAAGGTAAATAGTTGTCCCATTGTTTTATGATTGACAACCAGTCAAGAAAAATACTTATTCCTAATGTGGACAGATCAGATGGGAGAGAAGGAAGACACTTAAATAAGAAAGGCTGTGTGAGGACCGAGCTGGGCTTTAGAATCCTGAGAACTTGCTGGGGTAGGACTTGCACAAGGAAGGCCCTGTTTCTTTATGGATACAAAGGATATGAAAAGATGTCCAACGGTAAGTGAGGCTGTGGGTGGGGAACAGAAAGCTTCCTTCACTGGTATTCAGGTTTACACAGAACTAGCAATGTGCTGCTGCTGCTATTAGTGCTGCTACTGCTATTTGGGGGTGGATTAAGAAGTGATTTTTTTCAAACTATTTGCAATAATAACTATTATCAAAGATAAGTACATAGACTTCCGAGCCAGGAAATGTGGGCTCAAACTTTGCCTCTACCACGTATTAGAGCTACAGCAAACTCTTTAACAATTTATATGTAAAATTCCTCATCTATAAGTTAGGGTAATGATAGCAAACATTAGAAAGCAGGTTTGGGAATGAAAAAGAATAGATGTTTATTAAACATTTGCAAAGTATAACATATTACAGAACTTGTCAGGTAAATGGTTGTTACAGTTAGTTGTATTCTCTTTTCTAGCTGTAATCTGGTCTTCACTGAATTGATAGCTGTTTCATAGTTTAGTGTATGACCTATATAAACTGTTTTCATGCATGGACGGACATATGATTATAGTAGTTCATTTATTTTCAACGCTACTGGGCTCACACGCATCTTCTGCAACCACATTTTGCACTTTAAAAGTGAACTTTATTTTTAAACAATTTTCTTTAAAAATAGTTTTAACTTATATTTATTGCTATTGTGTGTGTGTGTGTGTGTGTGTGTGTGTGAGAGAGAGAGAGAGAGAGAGAGAGAGAGAGAGAGAGAGAGAGAGAGAGCCAAAGTCTAACTAGAAGAAAATACTTACATCTAGGACACATTCTAAATCAAAACCAGCAAGAGGAAACACACTCGGGAGCACAAGCAGAAACGAAACCATCAAAAATGCTTCAAAAAAAAAGCACATTACTCTCACTATCCCTCCCCAGCCTTTGCTCTGAGTGAAGGCAGAAAAGAAGTTTCCTCTGATAAAACTCTGACTTCTGTGAGTTTTGGATTTGAATTTATTGAATGTTTAACAATTAATTCTTAAACCCTAAAACTGTCCTTGGAACTGGGACATGTCTACTTCAAAATATCAAGTAACAAGTCTCATTTCTCACGTCTCTTCATGCTAGTGGGGGAGGAACACACGCAGCTGCAATATCCTGTTTAAGATCCTCCAAGGTGACGAGTGATGGAGAAATGAAGCAAGGAGCACGGCTAGCAAGAGCTCGGGCGGCATAATGGTTTTAAATGAGAGACCAAGAAAGGTTTAAGATTGAGCAAGAATCTGAAGGACTGGAAACACAGGTAAGTGGAGAAACCGGTGAGTGGAAAGCTGGGGCCCAAGGGCGTAAGCTTCATTTAGGTTGAGGAAGGTCAGTGGCCAGGAAAGGAGATAAAACTGCAGGAAAGGATAGCGTGGGGGAGACGGAGCTGGCTTGTACACATCTTCAAACTATAACACAAAGGCATTAATGCATTTCAAATGTTTTGAAGTGAAGCATATACTTTAAAACACTGTGGCGGACGACTTGAATATGTGACATTTCAAAACCCTTAGAGACAAAATGGAATGAGGGGGAACAGTTCAAAGGAAGAGATGAAAGAGACAGACAGGAGCAAGTGTATGGCAGTCACCCCAATCTGGAGAAATCAATAGCCAGCAACCGAGTGCTTAGAAGTCCATATGCTGTCCACACCTCTTGTGGGAACCAAGCACATGGGAAAAGTAGGAGTGAACTTATTTTGCCAATGCCGTGTAAACAGCAGTTGGAAGACAGGCAATGTGTCTGATGAGAATGGTCACTGCATAACATTAAAGTGTTCTGTTCATTGGGAAGACAGAAAAAAATCTAAGCTCCATGGGAACATCAAAATACGACATGACATCAAAAGACGAGAAGCAAAACACTGGAACATTGTGTGCAGGAATAGACAAACCACCCCAGCCATGATCTGTAGCATTGAAAACACAGCATAATACCGGATGAGCCTGCCAGGGAAAAAAAATATTTCCAGCAGGCACTCAGAGATACAGGTTCTTCTAAAGGCCTGACATAACCTTTCTTAAAATATGCCAAATAAGTGACTGAAAGGGATGGAGACATAGCCATTCATGAAATATCAGAATAAAACGGGAGTTCTTGCACTTCAAAACTAATTGGAGCCATGCCAGAATGATAGACATATAAATAATAAAATAGATTATAAAGATAGAAATACACCATCTCCTTTGTGGTTACTGACTTTCCGTCTACATGGAAGGCAAGATCATTCAAGAGTAGAGAATTATTTTTCAGGAAATGGTGCTAGAAAAAGCAGAAATGACATCAAACCTTTACTTGATAGTATTTATATAAAATTTTAGTCTTTAGTCCTCTAAGTTGAACCTCTAGCTGTAAAACTCTGAGAAGAAAATACAGTGTAAAGTTTTCGTGATACATTTGGCAGTGATTACTTGGATATTGACACCAAAGAGTAAAACTACAACATCTAGAAAACTTAAGTAACTGAACTTCAGGAAAAGTTTTAAAATTTGTGCAAAAATAACATCAGTGCACTAAAAATATTACCCATAAGTTGGGAGACAAAGCTTAAAAATTAACACCTAGACCATGTGAAGAACTTCTGAAATTGAACAACAAAAATAAAAAAAAATAATCATCCAAAATGGGTAAAGCACTTGAACAAACATTTCTCTAAACATACACAGCCAGTGTGTGTCTGAAAAAACTCCCAATATTATTAATCAAGAAGGGAATGCAAATCAAACACAGTAAGACACCACTCAATGGGGTCCTGGATTGCTGATAAAGACAAACCACAAGAAATTCCTGCCATGATGTGGAGAATCTAGAACTCTTCCACACAACTGGTGGGAACGCAAAAATGATCCCAACACTGTGAACAATGTGATGATTCCTCCAGCAATCAACAATGGGTTACCATGTAGAGCAGCAATTCCACTTGTGAGTGTGTTTCTACATTAACGGGAAGCACGATGTGCAAGAGGTCTGTGTACACGTGTTTATAGCAGCACTGGCCACGTCAGTGGTGAGCAATGGATAATGGATAAGCAGACTGTAGCAAACACATTACACAGAACATTATTAAGCCTTCAGATAGAAGGAAATGCTGCCATTCAGTACAACATGCATGACTATTGGGAACGCTGTGTGGAGAGAAACAAACCAGGCAGAAAAGGTTGACTGTGTATGATGTCACCTAATTGAGGTTCTCAAAGCAGTGAAAGAACCCAAAGACAGCTGGTGTGGTGGCACCACTTAGGAGGCAGAGGAGGAATTTTGAGGGCACCCCCAGCTATCCAGTGAGACTCTGTCTCACAAAACCAAACTGAAATCACAGAGCTAGAAAGAGAATAGTTGGCAGAATCAGTGAAACATGCTCTTTGCACTTTTAAAAAAGTATTTTTATCTTTCGTGTAAGTGTGTGTTGGTACATCTGCAGATGCCTGTGGATGACAGAAGATGGCACTGGGTCCCCTGGAGCTCTACCTATGGTTCTGTGCTAAGGCTATGAGCACTGGAAACCAAAGTCAGGTCCTCTGGAGAAGCAGCAAGAACTCTTTAACCCCTGAGTCATCCTGTCACTCTACCCAGAGGGTTACACTTTCACAAGGTGAAAATGGTTTGGACCTGGGTGGTGGTGACATTATAATATTTTGGATATATTTAACATCATTGGACTATATATTTAAAATGGTTATAATGTTAATCTTTATAGATATTGCCAGGATTTTTTTTAATTGAGAGAAATACCACATAATGAGATCATAAAACAGAAGGAGAACAGAGGCATCCAAGGCTTTCTGGATATATTAAAATTTCCTCACAATTAAACATTTATTATAATAATTGAAAAGGAAGAAGTTTCAATGTCAGAAACTGTTTCAAAATGCAAAACGATGCTGGGTTGAGTTTGGAGCACAGCAATTTAAACAGAATAGACGGTATCTTTAAAAATAACGTCTTAAAGGATTTCTAAACACCACTCGGAGAGCGTGGCTTATAAAAGTGGAGACATGAGGTATAAATAGGGTAAGCCTTATAACCGAACGCAGCTTTTTCCAGAAGGCACCCTCGTGAAGAACGACCTTCATAGTTAATTACCTTCTTGCATCTCAGCTGTTCCACGGTAACTCATGTGCCGCGCACTTGACTGACAGCCTTGAGCCTGGCTGCCTTCTATCATGCACTGTGTGTGCTGCGTCAAATTCCCTGGCAAAACTGTTATTTCAAGGTAATGTGTATAATAAAGCCGTTCTCTTGGTGTCCAGCAGCATGACTTGTGACTGTACTGTCAGAATGAGAGCCACCTTGATTGATACTCACCAGCCAACTCAGAGACACGCTTCCTGGGCAAGAGGGCCATTTTGTTCTCACAAAATGTTAAGATGAGTGTGGCTTCTTGGTGAGATTCAACACAAAGCATCAATAAGTTGCTAAAGGAGGATAATTTGGGCCCGAGAGTGATGGTAATTTTAATACTCCCTACAGTTTCTCTCCCTCCCAGTGTTACAGGTCTTTATCCCATCTCTTTCATCACAGCAATGTGTGGATAATATTAAAGGCACTTTGCTGTTTTGAAGTGTGCAGTTTGGCAGCAGCAAATGCATCCCATTGTGTGCAATCATTCCTGCTGCATGTGTCCAGAGTATGTCCATCTTCCCAAGGTGAAACTCACAATTCCTCTTTCTCTCTTTTCTGCCATACTGCCTTTTGTCTCTACATGTTGAACTGCTCTGGGTACGCCAATTTAGCGGAATTATAGAGTATTCGTTTTTTTGGTACCTGACTTATTTCACTGAGCATAATGTCCTGAAGGCTCAACTATGCCGTAGTGTTTATTAAAAGCCTTACTTTTTAAGTTTTAGTAATATTTCATTGCATAAACACACTATATTTTATTTACGAATTGCTTTTATTATATTAAGTCATTGTATATTATTATTCCCTTATAATTTCCATAATATACTGAGCATGCCTGTAATGCGCACAATTTTCAAGTATTTGTTAAGAACCAATATTCATTATCTATAATCTTCCTTACAACCTAAAAGTGGAATAATATGCTAATTTTAGTGATGAAGAAGCAGCATATGAATATAGTAGAATTTCTCCAATGATTCACAGATGACACTGAAGAGCTGGGGTTCTAACCAGATGCGCTGGGCTCTGCAGCTGGAGCTCTCTCGCTTGAACCCCCATCTGGCAATGCTGCTATCATGGTATTCTGTGCATATGCACTTGGATCTTGCTAGACAGGGGTATGTACAGGTCAGTGCTGGCGGTGCCACTCACTGCTAGTGACACCAGCCAAACCATGTGGTGCCACTAAATTGTTTCATCTCTAGAAGAGAACTAAGAAAAGCTGGCAATGGCAATAATAACAAGATGTCATTTTTAAGTACCAGCTCTGCCGCACAGGATGGACGTGCTTGCTCCTTACCTTCTAACAGACGGGAGTGGAAACACATGGAGGTTAAATCACTTGTCAAGCATCTTACTGCTCTCAGTGGTGGGGCCAGGTTTGAACCTCCAGTTTTTCATCTGGCTTTAAAACCTTCATTTTAGCCACTACTCACTGCCTGGGACTTGTGGAAGGTGAGAGGAAGTACAGCAGTCACATTGCCCATGTCTGACACACAGATGGCCCTCCATAAAGAGCTGCTTGTTCTTCATCTTACCAAGAATTACCTGCCATTGGTTCTGAATGACCCCTAGAGCCCTTCTGCCTACCTCCACCTGGGAAATAACCCAAGGACAGGGGCACAGATGGTACATCTATAAGGACATTTCCCTGTCAGCTGGGAAAAGCAGAATTATCAAGGACTACTACAAAGCCAGTTCCATGGCAGGCCTAATGTGCATGCCATCATTCAGATGGAATCCAAATGAGGTGGGAATTTGCCTTGACTTGCCATTTGCTATAGTATAATAATGACTGACTTCTTAAAGCCCAATTATCTCCCATTTATTTCAAGGCCCAGTCACGGTGCTAAGAAGTCTCTGAGGTTTCATTGAGAATGTCCTGCTTCTCAAGAAAGCTTAACAGTAAGAGGAGGAAGAAGGCTACCCCTGCTGGGGTACAATTGACCATTCCTCTGGGACATCTAGGTGGTAATTCATTTCGATTAATTAATACTCTTGCTGGTATTAATTGTTAGTGGTTGCTAACAAACCATCATGGATTTTAATGTTCATAATTGTGTTACTTGTCTCTTAGTAAAGGAGAACTGTAAGTGAAACTCTGCATTCTGACCTTGAGGTTTTGTTCAATGCCTTACGTAATAACAGCTGCTCTTAGCCTTTGGCCCCTGATCCCAGAGATGGCAGGTACATGCATGCCTCTCACAGTTATTTATCAGACAACTTCTCCAGTCACTTGATTGCAGAACAGAAGCGTAACATATCAAAAGTATCTAGCCTCAAATTAATTTATAATTTTATCATAACCACAAATGTATTCGGAGCTAAATGAAATCAGTAAGTATCAGAATTTGAAGTTAATAATTTTACAAATTACTTACTTGGAGAGTTAAAGAAATTTTGCATCTCATTCAATATCAATTTAAAACTATCTATTAGATTTGAGTAGGTTCTGTTATAAATGTAGTAATGAATAATGCAACAGCCCTTGCTGTCAGGAGGCTGGGTAACTAGAGGTAATGATGGGTTATTAAAGTCACTGGGTAAGTCAGCATTTTCCCTCCGCTCCCTAAAACATATGGGGATGTCTATGCGCTTCCCTTAATAGTCAATTTTTTGCATTTCCCAAAAATTAGTTGCGTTACAGCAGCAAACCTGACTGCATGGCTGCATTTTTATTGTAATTACATTAGCTTAACGAAACACACATAAATTGGTAAAATATGCGAGCGATAGAACATGCGTGTTTCGATAAAAACTGATTTAATGCTTTGAAACAATTTTACGAAGTCAAGTTGCCAAGCTGTTACTGCTATATTAGAGTTTGGATGAGACAAATGAAAAGGATTAAGAAGAAAACAATTCTAGAGTGAGCCTGCAAACCAATCACTTGGCAATTTAGAAACATCAGTCATATTGGGGAGAAAGACAGCGTACAGATTAATAATTATCATTCGCTATGGCCTGGGCTAAAAAGCCTAGCGCAGCCTCGAAGCCAGGCTCTTGAGAGGTAACTAGGAGAGAAGAGAAGACATTATCTAAAGGAGCAGGATATATAGAGCTTGACTAAAAATCAAGAGGAAAACACCTTCACGTGAGGGAAGTATCGTTGTTAGGGGCACGGGAAGACACTACGTTTACAGAGACTGTTACGGTACAGATCGTAAAGGCATCCTTAAAAAAAACTCAGACTTTTAAATACTGCAAGTGCTACCTAGTGTTTGGTTTCTGTGACACAATACCCAAGGAAAACAACTTAAAGTGGAAATATTTATCACGACTTTGTGTCTATCTCAGTTCATAATTAGATGACTGAAAACCTCTCTGGGCCTGTAGATGAAGCACAATGGCAGAAAAACATAGTATGGCAGGGAAGCTCATCCTAGGACAGCCAGGAAGCAGAGAGAGGGACTAGAAAAAGCCAAGGACCAAGATGCCCCGTGACCCACCTACCAGCCACCAGGCTCACCTCACCTCCTATTAATAATAGCATCAGATCATGCATCAATCAATGGATTGATTCCTCAGGGAAGTCAGAGCATCCAGGATCCAGTAGCTTCTTAGTGACTGGTTCTACTAGCTGGGGACCTCGTCTTTAACATTATACCTTTTGGAGAGGCACTTTATACCCAAACCATGACAATAGGAAATTGTTGGGAAAAGCAGTGATGCAATTAAGTTTTTTTTTTTTTTGTTTGTTTGTTTTTTTTTNTTTTTTTTTTTTTTTTTTTTGGTAAGGTCACTTTGGTCTGTGTAAGACCATATTTGGGAGGAGAGGTTTCCAATCAATCCTTAAGGCAAGGATGCAAAAGCAGACATTTAACTGCACAGCTAAATAGTCCACTTAGTCTATTTCCATGGCGATGATAAGAAGTGAACAAATCAAGGGAAACTTGGAAAGAAATGAGCATGGCCTATCAATCAATGCAGGCTAACAGAGGGGTGAAGCCTAAGCTTAGATTTCTGAGTTGGTTAACGAGGTAGTGTGTCCATAAAACCAAATAAGGAAAAATAGAAAAATAATGAGGAGGAGACAAAATGATAGTTGTACCTAATTCTATGCTTTACTTAGAGAACAAAACTAATTTCTAGAAAAATCTAAGTCTAGGCTAGAGAGACGGCTCAGTGGTTAAGGGTATTTGCTGTTGTAATAAAGGGTTCCCAGTATATATATCAGCTACTTCACAACTATCTGCAACTCCAGTTCTAGGGACTCCAGTGCTATCTTCTGGCCACCATAGACACCAGAAACACGCGTGGTGTACATATATATATATGCAGACACTCACTTATACATATAAAACAAAAATAAATGCTTTTTTTTTTTTTTAGAAAGAAAGCAAAGTAAGTCACGTAAGCAACAAAGGCAGAAATGGAGGTCAGACCATCGTCTTCTCCATCGGCATCATCAGCATCACCAGCATCAACATCAGCATCATCAACATCACCAGCATCACCAGCATCACCAGCATCAACATCAGCATCGGTCTAATTCTCGATGTCCGTACAGAGCAAACTTCCACTCTAGAGTTTTACTCTCACTGAATCCTTGCCACCTCCCCAGATATGATTATAAATGCTCTTTAACCCAGGTCTTATTTCAAACCTTTCCCCATGCTTGCCACACCCCACAAAATACAAAAGCAAAAATAAACAAAAAAGCCCTCGGCAGGATGCTATTGAACCCTATGGACATAATTTTCACACGGTAAAACTCTTTTATCAGCTAATGGAAATCTGACCCACAGGAAGATGAATGGGGTGAGCCTTCTGTGAAATAGGGTGAAAATAATGGCGTGTCAGGCGGGGTTTGGAGGGAAGCCAGGAAGGTATTCAGAGAAAATATGGAGGAGATGAACCTCCCCTGCTCCAAATTTGAAAGCTCAACTACTGGGGGAGGAAAATTCTTTACCCTCACTCACAAGCCTTCTGATTTTATTTCCTCTGACTGCTAATTGCTGCAGAAGGTAGCAATGTGGCTTTCTAAAAGGAATTCAGCAACACTTACAGGCTTGAAAAATACCGAAGTCGTATTGTTTGAATTTAGAGGCCCTAACAGTGAGCAGCATAACACAGCCAGGATAATTAGGAGCTAAACATGGGTGGGCACTTTCTAGAAATTTCTTTATTTCACGGCCTTAGTGAGAGAAAGATGAATGAAAAGGGAGGCTCTAAGTTCTGAACAGAGTGAGAATGCGGGTAGGTAAATCTTGCCATGCTCAGTTTTTCCCATTGTCTGTGTCTTATTGTTGAGGGCATAGAGTTTTGACTGGGTGGGGCACTGATTTTTTTATGCATATACTCATTTATTTGACAAATATTTATTGAGTACCCATAGTGCCTGTGAGTGGCTCATAGCTTGACAATTCTACATGTCCTCTTAGGAAACATCTGTGAACAATTACTGTTTTTGTTGTCATACCAGAGTGGTGTGAAGAAGAGCTTCTAGCAGCTAGTCCACAGAAGATGAGGATGCTGTTTATGTCCCACAGTGCACGGAGCCTCACAGGACAACTGAGAACATTCTGTCCCCAAATGTGAGCTGCGGCACTGCTGAGAACTTGGTTCTGATTGTAGCAACAGCAGTGAAACACTGCCAAGCTTCCGTCTTTAGAAACATCTTTTAGTTAGGAACAAGGAATAGCGAGACAATTACTGGTCAGAAATACAGCATGCCAGATAGTGAGAGATGGAACGCTGTGACGGAATGTGATCAGGAACTGGTCGCTGTCGCAGCTGCCACTGGAGAGAGAGGTCACCGGAGGGCCACTTAGGAGCAGAGTTTCGAGTAGAAACTTCCAGAGAAGCAAGTCAGGGTTTCCGTAACAGTCACAGGATTGATCTTTTCCTTCCTTCCTTCCTTCCTTCCTTCCTTCCTTCCTTCCTTCCTTCCTTCCTTCCTTCCTTCCTTCCTTCCTTCTTTCCTTCCTTCCTTCCTTCTTTCCTTCCTTCCTTTTTTCCTTCCTTCCTTCCTTCCTTCCTTCCTTCCTTCCTTCCTTTCTTCCTTCCTTCCTTCCTTCCTTCCTTCCTTCCTTCCTTCCTTCCTTCCTTTTTCCTTTTCTTTCTTCCTTTCTCTCTTCCCTTCCCTCCTTCCTCCGCTTTTGCCTATAATGCCTGAATAAATTCACTGCAAAAATAATTTGAATAAACTGTGAGAAAATCATTTGAGGATCATTGTTTATTCCCTCTTTTTTTTTAACTTCTAATTTTTGTTAAAATTGTTTTTGGCTGCTTCATACATGTGCACAGAGCATTCTGGTTATTCTCAACCCCTTCCTCTCGTGTCTCTTTCCCACCTCTGATTACTCTCAATTCCACACAAGGCCTACTTTTGCATTCACGTCCTTTGGTTTCACTTTGTGAGCCACTGAGTTTAACCAGGACCATCTGTCTTACAGTGTGTTTGGAACTGCCCCAGTGGAGCCTGCTGGGCTCACCTGAGCTACACAACTGAAGACAATGACTGCTCCTCCCCGAGAACCAGGAGTAAAGTTCAGCTCAGGGAGGCAGGGCTCTGTGAGTGCCTCCCCAGCCCACGTCTGACTGATGACCCACCCTTTCCTGTCCTGGCCCAGTGCAGGCAACCACAGCTGCTGTGTTTTCGTGGTTGCAATGGCTGTCATGCCAAAGAATCAGCATTTCCCAGCCCTGCTCTTTCTCACTGTCAAAGCATCGGACATAGAGGTACGTCCTTTTCCACTCTTTCCGTCCCCTCTCTCTCCTCCCTGTTCTTTGTGTTGTCCTGGGGACTGAACTCAGGGCTACACGTATGTTAGACAAACATTTTATCACTGAGCTGCGTCCCTAGCCTTTCATTATCTATTTAATTATCATTGTAATAGACTTCAGAGAAATAAAAACCAGAATTTGTTTTCCTTTCAACTAACTGAAATTGATTTTTTTTAAAGTTCTATTTAATCACTTATTGTAGATTCTAAGCATCATCTACAAACAATGGTCCACACATTAGTATATGTGTGTATAGTGCACATAAACATAATTGTGTACATACTGTGAGTTATATTCCCTATCATGATCTAATATGAGGTCCTTGGCTAGCATACAGATTTTAATACAATCTAAAAATACAGAAAAGTCAAACTACAGTTTGAATATCTTAAAATAAAATTTTAGCTTTTTACTTTAAACAATTTAGAACATATAGCAAAAATGGAAGGACTTGAAATTTTGTGATTAGTTTTTCCTCATTCAAAAATTGTATTAATACAATTTTAATGCAAATGTATGTAGTGATGTGTAAGTTATATTTTGCATACTAAAAGGCAAATGTGGATACAGCTCAGAGTAGAGCATTAGCCAAGTATGCATTAGCCTAGATTTGGTCCCCAGACCAGAAAAAGTAAAATGTGTAAAAGTTATTTCTTGTAACTGTAATGTGGTAAAACTGTATTTTTCTCAGAGAATATCGATTTTTCTCCAAATATTCCTTCATCAAAAAGAATCTAAATTTATCTTCTTATTTGACATGTATATAAAGAAATATTTAAAAATCAAAAGGTTAAAGCATAATGTCAACTTATTCTTTTAAAAATATTTAGTTTTGAATGGTTTATTTTTAAATTCTTTTCTCTGAGCTGAGGACTGAGCCTAGGGCCTGGCACGTGCCCCTCTTTGGGGCTAATTAACAAAAACGACATGGACTCTTTGGATAGAAGCATCATGAGCAGACATCCTGGCTGTCTTCCAGCAAGCATTCTTATTGAGCTGTGTTCTGGGGTTAGTGCTGACCAGCAGCTAAGACCAGCTCCATTAGTTCATGTTAGGTTTTTAAAGTAGGCTATTCCAGTTATTCTGGGAAGTACTGACTTTACTCCCTGTGCGCACAGATCTTCCTTATTTACATGTATGTAAAAACGTTTTCTTGCAAGTGTAAAATGATACAGTCCTCGAAAATACATGCTCATGGTTTTCTTAAAGGTGGTAGTGAATGTCCTTGTAAATCAGGGGGTCTAAGGGCTTTGGGACATTTTCCAAAACATTGTCAAGATTGGTCAATCCCTTAAGAAAAAAACAGAAAACAGGCATGGTTACAGAAGACTACAGCTAGAACAAAGAAGAAGGCAGTTTGTCTGTTTACACACACACACACACACACACACACACACACACACACACACACACACACACACACAGTGACCTTGGAACACAGGGCACTCAGAAGAACTGATTTCACCACTTACTAGTGTGACCAGGTTAGTGACAAACACCAATGTTCAGCTGGTGTCTGGGTACCTTCCATTTTCAACAGTCAGTGTGTATTTATCCTTTGTTTCAATCATAGAACACGTTTAATCACTCTGAGTGACCCACCTCTGAAAATCCTAAAAGGCTTCTTATTTCACTGTTTTGTTCTGCACGCACCCCACCTACATTTTAGAGGTGCAATTAAACTTTTTCTTATCACAGCTTCTGTATTGCTTTTCGTGTGCCTCTGATGTCATAGAGACAAAGGTTATGACAGCAGTAAATTGTATTTTCTTCTTCAATCTGTTGATTTCTGTTATCTTTCCTCTGCTACAGAAAAACAAAATAACGTAGTTGCAAAAGTTGGCTACCATTAAAGACTGGGAAAATTCGAATTATAGAAATACACCAGCCATATGAATCAATACAGCTGCTGTTAACCGTGAAAGACTTTTAAATCATTAAATGGACAACAACTCAGGGGGTGCGCACCAAATATCAGGCATCCCTTAAATACTGAAGTAGGCCTAAGCTTCTGCTCCCAAAAGGAATTATATCTAAATAGGAAAAAGAGAAGGGGTTGGCATACTTATGTGAATTCAGAGATGAAGACCACTGAAGGAGCAGAACACACCCCTCCACATGTGATTTCCTATATGGATTATTCTGCGCTGAAGGTGTCTGGAAAGGGCAGCTGCAGGAAGGACTCTGTTTTATTTTCTCTAAAAGTAAAGCACAGATTTCCACGCGGAGAGGGGCTGCCTGGGTCAGGAAGAGTAGAGCTCCTGTCACTGGAGGCAGACAGCTGGCATCCTGATGAATCTGCACAACATCCTTTCTTGAAAAACCTACAGCATTCCTCAATTTCTTGCCGGTGGCTGAGCCTCCAATCCTGCTTTTCTACAGTACAGAACTCCAGGTTCATCTGTGTCTTTGGGATTGTTGCTTTTCTCTCTAAGGCACTTTGAGTCAAAGCAAACAGATTTCAAATAAAATTTGTCACTTTTCTCCCAGTTAATCTGCCTTTTATCAACCCATTTCCCCATCCCCATCCACAGACTCTAAGAGGGTAGAGGAATGGTATTTCCTTCCCATGTCACTGTAGGCAGGGACCTCAGGGGAAGGACTGTGGAGGGTGCAGAGACCTCAGTGAGGAGAATCCAGACCTCCAGGGATTTAAGGAAAGAAACTTTCAGCTTGAGCAAAGGCCTCATTCCCAGCCAGGAAGCAGGTGCGTGTTTAACTCTACGTTTCTGATTGCTGATCATAGAAAATTGCTGGCACTTGTGTGGGAGGAGACACCTTCTAATTCTTCAAGGGACTCGCTGTTTTTCCCTGAGTAAAATCAGGGCTGCACTGAAGGTAAACAATGCCTTCAATCAGCCATTTCACAACCAACACAGAAGCAGAAATCCGTGACAGAGCTCTCTCTCTCTCTCTCTCTCTCTCTCTCTCTCTCTCTCTCTCTCTCTCTCTCTCTCTCTCTCTCTCTCTCTCTCCTGACATTAAAGACCTGACATCAAGAAGCATTCAGGGAAAACAATTTCTTACTCAGACATCTAGACCGGCAGCGGGATGGTATGGCCTTTCAGCCTCTTCAATTCACAGCTCCCTGAGATAGCCAGAGAGAGTTCCAGGCATTCTTTGCCGTGGCCTCAGTGCAACTTTCCCAGAACTGCTCTTCTCTGATTCACTAATCAAGGGAGAAATTGCTCCAGATACCCTCATACAAAGGCTTTTTAATCCTGCTGCATTCACGTTTACAGCTCAGGATTGAGGCTGACTTTGTAGAACTCTGTTTACAGTCTCACTCACCCGTACACAGAACTGCTAATTTTTGAATGACAGCTCCATAGTTTTGTTTGTTTGCTTGCTTGCTTTATTTTGTTTTGTTTCGTGAGACAGGACCTCTCTGTGCAGCCCTGGATGTCCTAGACAGTGATGCAGAACAGCTTGGTGTTGAACTCATAGAGATCTGCCTGCTTCTGCCTCCCGAGGGCTGGGATTAAAGATGTGCCGCCATAGCCTGCTAACTGCATACTTTCATTTGTAACGGTGGTGTCTTCTCCACCTCTGCTACAAACTAGGGCTTTCAGCCTCTCAGATGTATGATGCATTTTATGGAGAGGAAAATAAAGGATAACGGGCATAAAAAGTAAGAAGAGAGTTAAGGTGTTCAACGAAGCAGGAAATGGAGACCGTTAAGCTCCAGCTACCAGAGGGAAGACTTGCTTGGCCTAATTTCGCAATTTTAGTCCCTGAAAAACAGCAGCAATAAGAATTATTTTTAAAAACAGCAACACCGCCTAGGCCACGTTGTGAAAGAAAGAATGCGTGTTTCCAAGCAAAAGCCGGCCAGTCAAGCTGTGTCACAAGAGTAGAAGAATGTCACCACATTTTACACATTTTACAAGGCATGCAGTAAACCCCAACTTGCTTTAACTTGGTATCAGTAACATGTCTGGCAAGTTGCTTAACTGACTGTATTCTGTTTTCCAATATTGTATGCACCTATGTTCAACCCCAAGTTTTACCATCTACATTTCAACTACAAAGCCAGAAGTGCGAAGATTTGGGATTATGTGCTGGTGTGTAGAAGTCCTCTGCTGCCAACACCCTGGTGGATAATGGCGTTCACTTTTTCCCTATTCCCTCCATTTCATTTTCTGCTTGCTTTGCAGGATCCTGCATAGAGGGAAGATCACATGCTGGAGGTATGTCACAGCCCCAGTTCATGCCTGCCCTTCTCCAGCTACCCGGGGCAAGGGTACAAATGCTTCTGGCATGCCATGCCTACATATCTAAAAGTTATAAACAGAGCTGGCCAACTAAAAAGTGATGTAGCTTTTTTCCTTTCTTTCTTTCTTTCTTTCTTTCTTTCTTTCTTTCTTTCTTTCTTTCTTTCTTTCTTTCTTTGACAAAGCTACCTTCATAGCAATCTGAAAGCTAAGTTCAAGCTTAGATTTCTCAGATCGGTAAGAGTGTTGTGCCAGAATTCCGCTCAGTGCAGGGGCACACGCACTCCTACCTAGCCTTAAGGCCTGTAAACTTCATCTTTCCCTGTGAGGCCTCCAATCTACCAAGGGCATCCTAGGCATGGTACAAACACTCCAGTTTGATCCGTTCAAGAATTTTCCCCATAATCAGTTACCTCTCGGGACTAACTGAAACACAGCGAAAGTCCACCCATAGGAAAATGGGATAGGGACAGGCCAAAGCAAGCCTACAGCCAACACTGAAGGCTGTGCATCAGAAAATTCCAAGGTTCCAGATGCAGTCTCCATGGGAGAATAAGGCAGCCTAACAGGCAGAAACCTTGATTCCAAGGACTCTCCACTCACTCGGTCAGGAGAGGGCAGCCAGCGACTTTCACCTGAGTTTCAGCGAGTTTCACCTGAGACCGTACGTGTTCAGTGTTACTATGACAATCCCACTTTCCCCCCGAAAACCAACCCTTACAAAAGAACTGATGTTAATATGATGGTGCCAGCTTGGAAACAAAATTATATAAACAGACTTTTTTTTTTAAATCTTCTATACTAGCAGAGGTAAAGATTGTCGTGGAAAATTTGTTTACATGGTGAAGATGCACCTTCTGATTGGTTTAACAAAGAGCTAAATGACCAACAGCTCGGCAGGAAGAGAATAGGAGGGACTCCTGGGCAGAGAGAGCAGAAGTCAGCAGGATGAATCTAGGCAAGTGGGAGGCGCCAGTGTGATGCAAAGCAAGTCAGACATTGGAACAGAGGAAAGGTAACTGAGCCATTTGATAGAACGTAGAGTAAGAAAAATAGGTTAATTAAGTTATAAGAGCTAATTGGAAAAAGCCTAAGCTAAGGCCATACTTTCATAATTAATAAGTCTATGTGTCATTGTTTACCGGCTGTGGGCCCCCATGGAAAACTACAAAAGATGAACATTAATCGAGTTACTGGTGTTTTTCCCAGTCCTGTCCCTATTTTTAGATACATTTATTTTCATATCTGGCATCCCCTCCCCCCAGCATCTCTCTTCTTTCCTTTCATTCTCTCTTACCACCTGATTCCACATTTCACGCACTGGTTTTCTGCTTTTTATGGATAAGAAAACCACACAACTAGAAATAATACCTTCCATCTTTAGGAAAGTTACTGAAAAGCCAGCCCTGACCAACACAGGAGGAGTGGTTTTGCCCACCTCACTGGGGTTGTGTTGGAGTCACTGCTTTCTTGTGGCTCACGATTTCAAAGTAATTTTCTAACACCTGCATGACACCTTGACTCTCTAGTGAAAAAGGAGGCACTGGAACACACTTCCATTTGGTTGCTCCACATGAATGAGACAGAAACTACTGGAAGCAGTTAGACTTTCTTTTCAGGGCTTGTTCTCCAAACAATCACACACCTCTTTTGGCAGGTGTCAGGTTCCTAGTTCTGAGGCGTTGTCTTTAACAAATGGTGTCTGGAGGCAGCAGAAGGATCTGACAGGAACAGGGATGGCTTAGGCTTAGAAGCACATAGGTAGTTTAGCCTTTCCTTTCAGGGCCTCCTCCAAAGTCTTTCCTTGCAAGTAGTTTCCAGTCACTCCAGATTATTCTTTAGAAACACCATACATTGAGTGGACTCATAATTTGGCTAAGTTCAACTTTTCAGTTGAGTCATGTGTCCTCGTATTTTGCAGTCTGTCTGAAGTGTGTGCCTAAGGGAAATTTTTTTTTTTTTTTTTTTTTTTTTTTTAGCATCAGAGTACCAAAACCTTAGGATTTTATAGGAAAACCTACTAGTTCCTTCTCAGTGGTAAGAGAACTTTCTTTTCTGAGGAAAGAATGAAATATAATAAAAGAAGGAAGGAATAAAATGCCATCGGCCCTGCTAAGAGTCTAAGTTTTGACTCCTGTTATCAGAGATAATGGCATTTTTTTTCTATTTACTCCCATTTTGAGAGACTGCTTCACTAGCAAAAATAGTTACCAACCAAAAATACTACCCAGAGGGTGAAAACACTGTTGGTCAGTTCTAGCTTTTCTAAGCATGCATTATAGACTGTGTGGCATAAGGGACAAGCTTTTGTTCCTCGCCATTCTGTTGGCTGTGAAATCCAAGGTCAAGTTCCTAGCAGACCTGATTTCTGATGGGGTCCTGCTTTCTGTCTATACCAATGGCAGCAAAGAGAAAAGAAAGGGTCTTGAGTGTCTTTCGAAGACATCAGTTCCTTTCATTAGGGTTCTTGTCCAGGATATGATTACTTCCCAAAGGTCTCTTTTCTAAATACCAAATTTTGGACTAAGTATTACTGCAAAAGTTTGGATTTATGTGTAAAAACATATGGTCTGAGGGGCAGAAACTGCATCAGTAACATCCACGGTTACGGTTTCAGACAAGACCGCAGAACCTCAGTCACTAACATTTTAATAAAAAGCTTAAGCGGCACAGAAATATCTCGAGTGCACACACATGTCAGTGTATTCTTTATATAGATAGCTACATATGCAGATGTATAGAACCAAGACATGCTTAATTCAAATAAGGTTAATACAGGTAATCATATACGAAATCCTACATTTTTACAGCTCAACCTTTAAGCTCCCCCTGATGTTTCCTCTACTAAGGCCCTCAGTAGGATGGGAATAAGGAAGCTAGCTAATCTGACAGGTGGGATGGATGACTGTAAGAAATGGGAGAAGGGTGAGCAGAGTATAGTCACTGCGCTCTACGATGCAGAGTGAGACATGAGATAGACCACCACTAAAATGTAGTCATTGTGTGTGCAGTTCTGTACATTCACGTGTTTTGTTTGAACGAACAATCATGTTGATTGCTGGAGGTATGAACCCTCCCTTATGAAGGCGCACGCCGACGCCTAAGCTTTATTCAGGCTGTGGTGTCTGCTCACGTCCTTTGCCTGCATGGGTCCGAGCATTCAAATCATTTGTTCTGTTGAAGAGTTACTGAATAGGTCAATACTATCGAGTAGTTATTTGTGCTGGGCCTGACTCTATATGCAGAAATGGGACAATTAACAAAGCAAGTCCCTTTCATGGAGTATGGGTAGGGGGAGAGATTGGAGGGGAAAGGAGAGTCGATATAAGCAATAAGGAAGAACAGTGGGTTTCAGATGAAGTACAGTGAAGTTAAAGTGCCCCTGCTTCCCATCTGTACTTTCTCCCTAGCTCCAGCTTATCACGTCTTAGAGACCTAATAACTTCCTCCACCCACTGGTTGTTCGGAACCTTTGATCCAGCCCCTACTTCCACCAAGCTGCCGTTTTGCGTCTGTTTGTTTGCCTTTCTTATCTTTCTCATGCCGACTATAAGGCTTTGAGGAATAAAATATGTCCTTTCTTTAAATGACATTATCCTTGTGCTTTGGCTCAACATTAAGACAAGACACGACATATAACATATATGACCAACCAATTCACTGAATAGTCTGGTGTAGGAGCAAAGAAACCCAGTGCTGGGTTTAGGATCCAATTATCCCTACACAGCCAAAAGTGTATCAGGAGTAATGGCTGGGAAGACGACCTTCTACAAGGTCGTTAGAATATCACCTTTAGAGATGTTTTCTGTGGCCCTGATCCTGTAGTTTTTATGAAAAGCTTCATTTAAAAAATTATTATTGCAACTTAAAATTTAATCACATTGTAAAAATTAAAAACAACAACAATAACAGCAAGACTGCCTCGTGTGAATTAAAAGGTAAGCTCACAGACACTGGAGAAAGATCCGTTTTTTCAGGACCAAAGAGCAGGCTTTGGCAGAGAACTGGAACAGAGAATTACTCAAATAACAACACACCACTCTGAACAACTGCCTGAATGAATTGAGGTCTGTACAAGTACTGGAAATTCCAGTCTTCGAAAGCATCCTGACCTCAAAATCGTTTTGGACCATCTTTCTAGGGCTCTATCCAGCCCAAGGTGCCTTTTTTAAATTCCTCCTGGGGACTTCCAGTTCCAGCAAAGATGGAGGCCAAACTTTTGCCATTTCAATAAGGGAGAGATGTAGGAGTCACCTGACCACAGTCCACTGTGGGCATTGAACAAACCAGACAAAAAAACCCACAGAGCTGCCTGCCTCGAACATAGCGGAGGAAACGCCTCCCACCGCTGCTGAAGCATCTGCTGTAAATGAATCCTGAATGTCTCCTTAGGCATTAGAATTTAGGTTTCACTGGATTGCGGCTAAACATGTTTCTTCTCAGAAGTCCAGCTAAATTACAGCTCTAATGTGACCTGTACACTCCCTGGTGATCCCCCCCCCACACACACACATTCACATACACAAGTACTTCTAGGAACTTGGGTGAACTCTGAGTCTTCTTTCCATTTCCAAAGACAACATCCAGCAGAACAGACAAAACTCACAAACCAAACGAAGTGTGTAAGCAGCCTGCGGACTTTGACAGAGTGACTAACAAACGCCCACTGGGTTTTGTGGCCGTTGGCCTATTTTGTTGAATACAGTTAGGAAGAGAAGAGCAAAACTTAATAAGTTCCAAAATGATTCCTAACTTATTTCTTTGATGGACAGTCTGAGGCAGAAAGATGCTGGATTAGTAAAAGTGATGGAAGAGGACAATGTGGGGGACTTCTGAATGCCTGCATGGCCTATCTTTATCAAGGGGCAAAAAGAAGTTAGAAAACATAAGACAGAAACGTTTGGATAAATATCCTGCTTGGCCTTTAGTATGGTACCCAATGTTCTTGAAATTGAAAATAACTATTGTTCTTATTTACAGAGCATATAATAGCTGTCAGCCAAGGTACTAGAGGTTTGCGTAATTGTCTAATTCAATCTTCAGCACTATATGGCAGATATCATTAATCTCACGTTCAAAAATAAGAAAGCTGGAGCTCAGAAATTTTAAGACGTTTTTCTTCAAAATCTTGTATGTAGTAAATTGAAAAGTCATAATTGCAAAACCAAGTGTGTGTGACTAAAATTTGCATTCTTCCCAACATTGCCTGGAAGGATCAAATACTATTCCTCATTAAACACAGCTTCTTTAAGGATAGAGACTGACGCTGCAATTTAGTGTTGAGCCATGCAGAATTTTCAAAAAGCATGATGCCTCAGTTAGAGTTTTTAAACATTTAATTTAAATGCATTTGAGTTGATTAATTTGCATAACCAAGTCTAGGCTTGTTTCCGAGGAAAGCGCTCCGCTAACAAGTGTGTCCCATTGGTCCTTTAGTTTTGAAGTCTAAAATGACAAGTCGCAGTGGGCTGGGGGGGTGGGGGGGTTCATTCCCGCTTTGTGCACAGAACAGGAGAGACAGGATCTGGAGGCTCACGTGGCAGGTGCAGCCGCGGAGACAAATCCCTGCCTGCTGTCACACCAAATGAAGTCTTACGGACCTTTAGAGGGGAGTCGAGAGGAGAGAGGACTCCAGGGCCAGATAGGGAAGACGTGTTATAATAATGATGCCAAATTATCTTACCACCATCACAGAAGTAAAGTGGTTATTTCCTACGTGGTCACTCAGCGTTAAGTGTGCGGAACAGCTCTGCTCTGCTCGGAGGCTATTCAGTCCACTCTGAGGGCATGCTCGTTAAAGTGATTTTCAGGAATTCTTTCAGAGCATCCCACTGACTATAACACTACTTAGTTTTCACAGACATGATTATAGTTGCACATCCCTGTTTAAGGTAACTTCAGTCATGGCTTAGTACAGTTTCCTTGCTAGAGCTCACGGTGTGACATCTTAGAGCCACCTACCGGGATAAACTGCCTCTTGGAGGTTTTAAAATCACGCGTGTACCAGTCCTTCCCCCTTTTTATGTTGGATGGGGGAAGGAGGAGGAACAAGGAAGGTAGAGGGAAAAAAATATTACTCTCACCAGAGAAAATTGAACGGCATTAAGAAAAATTCAGCGGGGGCTCTTTAACCATTGATTCTCATCATAGAAATTGTCTCTATGTCTCATGAGTCCCTTTTTCAATTTCATTGTCTTGTTTTGTAAGAAGGGAAAGTTGGATCTGATTTTCTACTCTGCCTCAAGTGATCCTGCAAATGGGAAGGGGCCAACCTAGACCTGGAGGAAAGCCACCTGCCGCAGCTTCCTTTCCTTTGGTTACCTTGCAGTTTCTGGTTGTATTCGGTCCTGTCAGACTGGCTCCTCCTCAAGGTGCCAGAGTGGTCTCCAGGAACACTGCTGTCCACCACAGTATCTGTCTTCCTTCTCTCCAGCATGTATAGCCTGGGTCTCAAGAAGGTCAGGTTCTTTCTCTTGCTTCCCATGGTTTCCTTCCCAGCGGCTTCCCTGGGCTCCATCTGAGGCTGTGAGACAAACTTTTGAGGTTTGCAGGCAATGGCTGGTTGCTTAAGCGCCTCAGGGTGAACCTCGGCATGAACTGACCCCCTTCTAACGACACAGCCTCACTGCAGGGTTACCAGTCTGTGAGTTCTACCTGGAGTCCCCGAGCTCCACCCCTATGAGGTCATTCTTTTTTTTTTTTTTTTATACCTACCATCCAACAGGGGAAGTTGCCACCTGTTACCCGAGAGACCTGCGCGCGCTGAGTTAGGCAAAGCAGGTACTCTACTGTCACATGCTACTGAAGCAAACAAAAATCTCATTGTGTGGGGCGAGGGCTGGGGGTGGGGAAAAGGAAAGCGAGAGAGGTGGGGCAGGGAGGAGGGCAGGGAAGGACATTAGCAGAACCCACAGCCTGTGGCTTGAATGCGTGCCCATGGGTGTGTGCAGGTGCACTCTGAGAACTGTGTTGTGACCGGCTACTGGGAGCCCTGGGCCGCTTTCCTCCTGTCTTCCCACCTGTGGCTCTGAAGTCGACCTGCCGCAATGACAGTTTGCATTTGCGCGACAAAGGAGACAAGGTTATTTTTTATTTGGAGTATGTGCCCTCAAGTGCTGGCATCCAGCGATTATCTGCTACAATCCGACTGGCTAAACCCTGATCAGATCTCCTAAGAAGGAAAGATTGACATTTTAGAGTGATTACCCACACCCCCAAAAAGGGTCAAGAACTGGAGAAGAATGAAATCCGCCACCCCCGCCCCCAGCCCAGAATCTTCTCTGTCGTTTTTTCTCCATATGCCGCCTTTGCATAAAGGGGAGCATCCTTTCCTGGTCCCAGCCTTGCCCTCCTATGTTTTGGTCCTTAGGAAAATAATAGATGGGTTCAAGGTTAATTTCTTCAGGATCTGTCTCGTGTAACTTCACCAGTGAAGTGCCAGGAAAGGGCAGTGTCCTTTGAAAAGACGGGAGGAGAAGACAGGTTTGAAAACGAGGAAGCATGAAGAAGAAGAAACAGAACAAAGCGGCACAGGCCTTTCATTGTTTGAAGTTGTTTTTCCTCGTATTTGTTGAGATCTCCCAAGGGAGAGGTGGCAGAAGCTCTGGGAATGTGCTGACTGTATTGTGCACAGCCTTGTTAAGGAAAAGAGAGACCCTAAGGAGACAGCTAGCTTCTCTCCTGTAAAGGGACCACCGGCTTCCACCTGCCCAGTGTGAATCTTGCTCCACTCCATCTCGACATGATTGCAAATGAGGAGAAAGACAAAAACCATCTTCCCAACTCGGGATATGTAGGCTGAATGTAATTTGCATAATTACCTCAAAAGATAAATGATAAAACCTCACTATAGTGACATCCATATATAGATTGGCATACTGAATGGCTTTTATTTAAGATAATTGAGACTTGGTTTTTTTTTTTAACAAGCTCTCCTAAGTATATTGAATAAATATCTTTAAAGTGACTTTTAAAGCTGTAAAATGAAGTTTATTATTTATTAAAATATTTCACTTGTTCACCTAGTGACTTTCAGAGCTCTACTCTTCAGTATAACGTTATAATTGAAAAATTATGCCATTAAAAACTGCAAGAATTTTGGAGAATAAGAGGTCTAGAGACTAAACACTTAGAAATCCTGTCAGTGGTCCATAAAAGAACAGAAAATGAGTAAAAATGGATAAAACATTTTATGTTTTTGCATGATAAATTTTTTCATATGCTTGCTTTATTTTTTCATTTTTGTGAGTGTGTGATATGCATATGTGTGTGCATGCATGTTTGCATTTGTGTGTGTGCACTTGTGTACATGTGCGTGAAGAACAAGTTGGTTTGTTGTCAGAAATCACTCTGACTCACTTCACCCCCCTCACAGAGGCAAACCTCTTAGTCAAACCCAGGGCAGGCCTCTGTGGCTAGTTCTGCTAGCCAGTCATGCCTTGCTGGCATTTGCAGAAGTCCTGGGGATCAGAACTCTGCTCCCTTTGCTTGGGCAGCAAGTTCTTTGCCCATTGAGTCACCTCCAGGTCCCACATTGCTTCAGGGTTTGTTTGTTTGTTTGCTTGCTTGCTTAGATAATCTCACTATGTAGCCTTGCTGGGCCTGGCACTCACTATATGGAGGACAGGGGCCTTGAACACATAGATCTGCCTGCCTCTCCCTCTTGAGTGCTGGAATTAAAGGCACATGTCACCATAGCTGGCATAGCTTTGGTTTTTGATACAAGATCTTTGCTTTTTTATATAGGCTGACCTAGAACTCACAATGCTGTATTTGTTCTCTTCCTGTCTCACCTTCCTGGATCCTGGGATTTAGGGTGGGCCACTGTGCCACCCAGGTTAAACATCTAAGAAAGGTGTGATCTCTGCAGTAGATGTAGCCCTTCATCTCGGGAAAGTTCTGCCCTTTGCTTGTGGCTGGGCATTTCAGAAAGACTGCTGTATGTGAATTTGAAAATGGCAGAAGCATTCGAAATCACAGACATCGATGATAGATGTGGCCCATGACACGGTCAGGGATGAGGTTGCTGGCAATGTTTAAAGGGTATACAGCTGACTTTTGTGGGTTCCTAAGTCATTGTTTTATCTCGATAGGATTTTTTTTTTTGCATTAACCTAAGTGTTTCAAATGGACCCTAACCACTCACACGGGCAAATCTAGATATGATTTTATTTTTGCATTAACCTAAATGTTTCAAGTGGACCCATCCACACACACAGGCCAATGTGGAATATGTTCAAACAGTTCCTTAATCTGCCAATATTTCTAGAACAAATGTCTGTTTCTAAAACAAACATTAGCATTAGTAATCTGGTAGATTTATTGATTTTACTTTTAATGATGGACACACACATATTATAGGTTCTGTAGATTCTGTGGCAAAGGTATGCTTCATTTATTCGTGATGTTTTATCTTAAATTTTAAAAATTATATTTCATTAATTGCCTTTGTGTTGGCTTGCACGTGGAGGCCAGAAGACAGTTTGAGGGATTCAGTTCTCTCCTTCCTCTCTGTGGGACCAAGGGATGAAGTCAGGCCTTAGGGACCGGTGGCAGGCACCTTCCCCTACCGAACCATCTCCCCGGCCCCTTAAACATTTTCTAATTAAGCATAGAAACAGTCAAAGCTGCTGCTGTCATCTAAATCTGAGATGCTCTTTAGACCACATAGTGAGTTAGGGCAAGCCAAGTGAATGGATGCTGAGGGTTCTGACTAAGCCATGGAAGACCCCTCCAGGGATAGATGCATAACACGATGCTATTACCAGGGGGTGGTGGGAAATAGGAACTGGGCCCTGGTGGGAGGAAGCAGCCACTGCAGCATGCACTGAGAGAACTGTCTTTTCTCCCCCACTCTTCTCTTTCTCTGATTGTTGACTTCCTCTCCATCGCTTCCTTTCCCCAAGACACTCCGCCTGGCACAGGTCCAGGAATATTGTAGCAAGCCAGCCTGGACTGACACCCCTGTGAGGCAAGATAAAATAAACAACCCCTCCCGTAGGCCAGCTTTTCTCAGGACTGTGTCACGGTGTCACAAACCTACTAACCGTAGTTTATGCCGTCAGCGACTGGGGCGGACATTGCCAGTGGTTTACTGCTTTTATCCTCACACCCACTCCCCGTTGCCACTCTTAGAAGAACCAGAACCATCCTTTTATTCAAGGTAGCACGCGGACCAGGCTAGACCAATCAATCGTAATTTCTTTCTTTCTTTCTTTTTCCAAAAAGTGATCATGCCGCTCTGGTCTTAGAGCCTGAGTTAATTAACCCAGAGCATCTCAGGGTTAATCCAGAATAAAGGGCAAGGTATTGATTTTAAAGACGCTGTTCCACAACCTAACAAAAGGAGCATGCGCAGCTGGCTCCAATTTCTTCCTCCGGACTCAATTGTGTGTGTGCGCACTCACAGCCACCCTGTATCTGAGAGCCCAAGATTGGTGAATTCTTGTACTGTTATACTATTGAACCAGCACTCGTAGCCACTTGCCTTAGACTTTGCTATTCCGGTGAAATATAGACTTATTTTTCAGACCACTGTTGGGGTGCTTGTGAGCATATTTGAAGTGTTTTTAGCAGATAGCACACAAGCAAAGTGTATTTAGAATCTCCAGCCTACAACATGCTTTAGATTCTCCAGAAATGAAAATGACTGGGTCAGAAAAAACTTTGAATGGGCTTTTTATTGGCTCATCAACCAGGCGAGAGCAAGGTCTCCCTCCAATCTATCTACATACAGAGGTATTTCAATACAAGGAGTTTATATCACTTAGATAAAATGATAACTCTGAGATGACTAATTGTAATTTCATTTACTACAGGATGGATCCAGGCTCACTGTTAGAAGCAGCACTGGGGAGTAGACCCAAGACAGTCTCCATCCTTGGCTTCAGAATCTGTTGTTCTCCTGGTTGCTACGGGTCCCAAATCCTTCATCTGAAAAAATGGAAAAATGAGTTAGTCATTAGTACTATTTACCAAGCAGCTTTGGTTCTTCCCTGAGGCACATGGGAGTATTGCACTGCCCAGTCTCCTTTGAATTTATCATTGCAAAAGTATCTCATTTTTGGTTAACAACAACAACAACAACAACAACAACAACAACAAACTGATTGAAAGAGATGTGTCTCACACCTGGGTAAATGTTAAAAGTATTCTGCTTTGCTATGGGTTATTTTCTGTCGTCTATAATGGTTTCTCCCTCTCTGTTGACTCTAGAACATAGGTAACTCGGGAAGAAAGCCCTAAGTAATGTATTTGAGCACGAAATAATTCCGGTTGCCCGCTCTGCTAAAATTTAGGGTTTGTGCTGCTGTTTTGAGATGGACTCTCACTACTTATCTCAAGTTGGACTGCAACTCTTTATGTAGCCCATACAGACCTTGAACTTGTGATTCTCCTGCCTCAGTTTCCCACATGCTTAGATTAGAGATATGCACCACCACAGCTTCAGGGCCTTTAACAAAAATTCGAATCACTGTAGCATAACCCAGATTATACTTAGGCTTGCAGAGTATTGGTCAAATGATACTTAATTTTTTTTTTTTTTAGGTCAAGCGCTATGGGAGTTCAGGATTCTAGCCCAAGGTACAATTAGGTGGCACATCCCAATTCTACAATGAAA